AAGAATGATAGAGAGAGAGAGAGAGAGAGGACAGCAGAGAGAAGTGGCCTCAGGGAAGCGGGCCTTGGTGAATAAAAGACGCGTTGCGAAATAGAGAAGGAAAGGAGGAAAGGAATGAGGTGGGAGGGGGGGGTAAGGAGCGGTAGTGGTGGTATGCCGTCCGTCCACTCTCGCCTGCACATTCTACTCTCTTACTTCTCTCGCAGCATCCCACTCTCCTTCCTTTCCTTTTCCCCTTTTCTATCTTTTCTACGTAAGTCCATCTTCTTCCTTCTTTTCTTTCTCTACTCTTACCTTTTTCCTTTTCATTCTATCTCTTTCTCACTTTCCATACTTCTCCTTCTCCTCGTTCCGTCATTTCCCGTTGCTCTCCTCCGCGCCGCTCCGCCCTCCAGGCAAGACAATCTTTCTCTTCTTTCTCTGCGCTCCCTCTTTCTGTCCCTCGTTCTCCCGCTCGCCTATATGCTCGCCTCGCGGGTTCCAAGACTATCCGTGCTTTTCTTTCTCATTTTCATATTACACGCCGGTCTCGCTCATGCTCGTGCTGCGGTTCTCTTAAGGCGGATTTACAAAGATCGGATAGGGGATCTAGCGATGCGAGTGATGCCCAAGCGGTATCGATGATTTTTACCCGCATGGTATACATCTTTCTCGCGGAGAGAAAGACTGTGATCACGTACGAATGATGCCGGGGATCAAATGCGTCCGATTCGTGACCGATACTATTGAATACTTGTTGCCGGCAAAAGTCTTGCCACAATTACTCGCTCTTGTGAAACGCTTCGGTATTATATTAATAGAAACGAAGGGTAATTCCGTGAACGCTTTTATTATGTCAACAATTTGCTATTTATATTATATTATATTCCTTCTTTTGATTATTATCTGCTATTTATCTGAATTTCAATTGCATTTTTCATATTAACGTTTATAATTATACGATCGATTTTACTTTCAATTACTTCGGTAAATTTTTCCCATTTTTTTTTTTTTTTTTTTTGATTACTAATTTTGATTGAAAAAAATATAATACTTAGCAAATGATTTCATGTTACTTTTAAGTTAGAATATCAAGGCATTGTAAATCGATGTATATAATATTCATCTCTAATGCTTTGCCACAGCAGGTAAGAAAGTAACGTGGAATTAAGGTTTAACGTTAGATGCGATTATTATGCTCTTACGTGATAATTTTAGAGAAGTTGAAGCAAGAAGCTGTTGTTCGTCCTATTTTAACTATACATCTCTTTCTTTAGACTTTTTTTATAAATACTTTATAAAAAATGTTTAATGGCACACAAGATATGAAATGGAAAATTAGTATTTTTAAAATTATTAAATTATTAATTTTTTACTTTAATTAAAATGAACAACTTTCTAGGATCTAATTTAGGATCTAATATCACGTAAAAACAATAGTTTAAAAAATTCAAAAATTTGAAAAGAAATATTGACATTAATTCTCGAAACACAAATCATAATTGGATTAGAAATAACTTGTTCCAGCGAATCAAAATTCTAATTAGCGTTATTGTTGGAACAACAGAGATACTTTAATCATACTTCATCAAGGCATCAAAGATACTCGTCAAAACGTTAGATAGTTAAGAAATTATTATAATAAAATATTCCAAAATTTATGAGAAAAAGAAAAAAAAGTAATGGAAAGAAAGACTTCTCAAGCAATCAAAGAAACTTTGTTCTTCAATTGGAATTGAAACGTGGTCCCCTTACAAGCAACGATTGTAACAGAGCAGAAAGCATCGATGTTCGTTTTACGACGAAAAAAGGTTTAAATTGACGGGTTGATTGCACGGTGCTATTCGACCTCCCACTCCCTAGCGCTAGGCCTTAACTACCAGAGACCCAAGAGCACGTCGCTGTGCGTTTGTATTTTCCACGAATACAACTCGAAACGCCCACGCCCGATCATCTCGTGCAAGTAGCACGAAACCAGCGAAATCGACGCCTCGTGTAGAAAGCATGAAAATCCTTAGATAAAATTTTGTCACGGACTCGACTAGTCAAAAAATTTAATTCTCGTCGCGACAAATATGGCCATGAGAAAGGACTTGAATTTATTAGACATTATTTTAAAACGATTTTCTGATTTCGCAATTTGAAACCTTCGTACGAAAAAAAAATA